TTTTTTTCTTTTTTTTTTTTTTTTTTTTACAGCTGAAGCAGGGAATACTAAAGTCTCAGGGGTGTCGAGTTTGGATTGTCTGTCCAGCATCGTGGAGCGAATCTCCACAGAGACCCCCGCGTGTCCCGTGCTGTCAGTACCGGAGGGGCACGAAGGGAGCCCGTGCTCTCCGCAGGAGGGGTCTGTCCTGAGTAAGACCGGGGCCCCCGCACCGTCCCCGACCAACTGCCCTCAACAGCAGGCTCAGGATCCCATCTATCAAGTGCTTTAAAGATCGGCAACATTACAAAACAAAATTGAAAAGGACAAATCTGAAATGAGAAACATTCAGCAGAAAAAAAACCCGGCAAATCCGATTTTAACGACAAAAGAAAGACTATTTCGATCCACTGCTGGAAACTATTGGAACGATTGTTCTTTCTTTCTTTCTTTCTTTCTTTCTTTCTTTCTTGCTGTGGAAAATGAATTCCATTATGAAAATGGCTCAGCAGATCAGCAGAAGTGAGTTTCTTAACTACGCTTATTTATATTATTGTATCCACGTGAAAATGACCACTTTTTTTTTTCCCTTTTGTGAATATATTTTCTGTCACCATCACCTTTTATTTCCTAATTATTTACAAGAGAATCGTAATTCAGATACGAAAAGTAGGACCACTTTTGTATATGTGTAAATAAGATCTGTTTTGTTAAATCGACGGAAACGAACAAACGTATTGTATTTAATGATGCCTGTTTGAAACACTAGCTTGTTGTGTCTTGTGTTAAACTTTATATTTATACTTCTTAAACGAGTGAATGTCGGATTAATAAAAAAATATAACTATTTATACTCGAATGTTTGGATGGAATGTTTTGATTTAGCCATTCCGTGAATTAGCCTATAATGACACAATGGAATATTAATTTAAGACAAAACGGTTTTAGCGGGACAGAAAACAATGATGAAAGTGAAGGTTGTTGTTGTTCTTAAAATTTAATCATGGTAAAACTCATTCAACACGAAGTTCTCAAAACAAATGACCAACTTAGTCTATAAAATAATATTTTAGATGTTTACATTTTGTCCATTGCCAACGAATTCTGGCAACTTACCGTTGATGAAACAATGTTTTTCTCGAAGCTTCCCCCAAATTATTTGGTTCTAGTCTAGTGGACCATCTCAATCAAAATAGCTAAAAGCAAATAGCCGTTTATGAAATGGAGTAAAACGCTGGCTTCACATTAATTGCGATTCGATAACACTTAGGTCCATAATCTATAAACTTTCATTCATGTAGGCTGCATTTAGCCAACTATGAATGCATCCAAATATCGAATGACATGGCTATAGACTAATGAACAGCTTCCAATTTAATCTACAGGAAAATGTTCGGTGATGTTAATGAAAACTAGAGTGATACTAATTTTTGTAATACTAGATCTATTATTTAACATCGAATATTTCAGGGATGATCATCTTTTTTTTTTTCTTTTGCTAAAAAGGGAGCTCTAATAGAAGACAGACATGATATAGGCTACACTCTAAAAAATGCTGGGTTGTTTCAACCCAACTTTGGGTCAAATATGGACTAACCCAACTGTTGGGTTAAATTTTTCAATTACATTTTTAACCCAACAGT